ATTAGGTGCCCACTGCTATTGCTTAACGACGCTTGGCGACGTTCAGCAAGGTTTTCCATGCCTATCTCTACGCCGAAGGTTGAGGTCTCACCTGGGCGGCCGTTCCTCCGCTGAGTAGACTCAGGGCGGCTCGCCAGTTCGAGCACGCAACGACCGGGGCGGGGACGTCTCGCCCCGCAACCTCTCCAGAGCTGCCCACGGGGCGAATCTGCTGCTAGATTGACCAGCGTACCGCATAAATTCTCGGTGGTGAGCAGCCTGAACACCTAAAGAGACCCTCCCACCCAGGCCCATGTCACTCCACTTTTGATGACATCATAAGGGGGCCTCAGGACAATTAATGGCGCGGTGCGCCACAATCGCTCCCAAGGTACTGGCCAACAGCTGCCATTTTTGAAAATATTATTTTGAAATAAAGTTTCAAGTAATGAAAATATTGTAATGAAGTTGTAACTTAAATCTATACCACATCTAAAAACTTACTGAAAAATGATTTATCCATAGGTAGTAAAAATATGAGCTCGATGCGTTTTCACGTTGCTTTCCTGCTGCTGCAGAGGGGTTTTAATTCGTCTATATCTTCAAAACCGGCCATTTCTTAGCATATTGCTGCTCTTTTATGTCGCTGGAAAATTAGTTGGGCTTTCCATTGACATCAACGGCTGAGCGGTATGTGCAGAGTGTCATCAATAATCTTCAAATGAAGTTAGTCATTTTTACGTTGCAAAGGAATGGAGTACCCCTTCCGAGCATCAGGGATGACGTCACTCAGGATCTGTCTCTGATTGGTCGGCGGGGGAGTGACTGTACCTTCTATAGATGGCCTTGCTCCCACCTTCAAAAAAGTTAATGAATTGGCATAAAAGTGATGTCCAATAGATGAGAGTGAGCAAAAAGGAATATCTACTGGTGTACATTAGTTTCCATCGAAAAATATTCACTGTTTTTTTAATAGATATTACACTTATTATTTATTTCCCGGGGCCTACGCTGTTCATACGAAGTCATTGGGAAACAGTTATTGGTATTTTAAAAGTGCGACCGATGTTGCGCGCAAAGCAGCATATACCACCACTGCTTCTTGAAGATGTTAGGATGTACAAAACTATGGTCCTTTTAAAGAAGACTATGTATTTTACTTGACGAGAATGCTGCAAAAATTCCCCTAATAATAATAACCAGTAATTACTTCTATGATATACGTATGAAGGTACCTATTTTGCAACTGTGTCAAAGCACAAAAGAACAGCATTCTGACAGCTCACTGTGTTATGTGTAAATGGCAAGTTTGGTTAAACTTGGTCAGTGCTGAACTTGGATTTTAATTGCTAATTGTTTTGTCATTTCAGAGTGTTAATGGAAACAGACGATACTGAGCTGGGGCCGGATGCAGGAGGCGACGGACGCTGTGGTGTGCTGGGCAAAATAGTCCAAGATGCTGGTAGCGGGTGAAATACGCAGCTACTCGTCGTCTCCTAGAGCGCCGCGGACGCCGTGGACTGCGCCATCAAAGTCGACGGAAAGTCGGTTCCAGCAGCCGACCGTCTCAAACTACTCGGAGCCACCCCCTCAACCTGCTCCTTCACTTCGGGGCCCATTGCCGCAGTCTCCGCTCCCGAGTGCTCCCCGGATCCAGCAGCTTCGCAAGCTGACAGCGCGGGGCTGGGGACTAGAGGAACGACAGCTCTGCGCTGTGGCGTCTGGATACGTCCGTGGAGTGCTGGTGCACGCGGCCGCCACCTGGCTCCTGGTGACGCCACAATCCCACGTGGAACTCCTCCAGAGGGAGATGCGGGTGGTGACCTGTACATCACCGGCTGCCCCTTGTTTACCCCAGCCCACGCAGTGATGGCGGAGGCCGGACTGATGCCGGTGCCCGCTGGCCGCCCGGCGAGACGTGCTGGTAGCGAAGCTCTTCGCCAAGGCGCACGCGCTCCCCGAGGGCAAGCCCTCAGGACTATCGCGGAAGATGGGCCGCCCAGCCGACTGAAGTCGGTGACGGGCTGGCGTGGGGAAGGGCACGAAACCTGGCGAGCGGCTGGGATAATCTCTGATTCATGCTCGTGTCGCCAGTCGCGAGTGACATCTGTGTGCGGCGCGCGCGTCCAAGATGGCGGGCGGCGATGAGGCGCAGTCGGCCGCCGCCGCCGAGAAGCCGTCTGAGATGGAGCTACTTCGGGGCATGCTGCAGCAGCAATTGGAGCTGGCTGCAGCGGCAGCGCGACGTGAGGAGCGGATGGCCGCGCTGTTGGAGCGGGTGCTTCCCGGCCCGACGGCCGTGCAGGACGCCACGGCACCCGCCCAGGCAGCCGCGGGGCCCGATTCCGGCGCCCGGCCGCGTGCACGCATGCCCGCCGCCGGCACGCCCACGCCCCGGCTGGCGGCTACCGCTACCCTCAAGGAGTTTGAGGCCTGGAAAGATAAGTTCTCCGGCTACTGCCTCCTCACCGGCGTCCACGATCTCACCGAGGCTGAGCAGCGGGCCGCCCTGCTCGCTGTTCTCGACGACGACTGGGCCCGCGTGGTCCGGTTTGGCCTGCCCATCCCGGCCGAGGCGTCCATGGCCGATGTAATCACCGCCATGCACGCCCACCTTCGGCGGCAGCGGAACGTGGTGATCGACCGCTGCGAGTTTAACATGCGGATGCTGGAGCCAGGCGAGTCAGTGGACGATTTTATCTGCGCCCTGAAGGAGATAGCGTCCTGCTGTGATTTTTGCCCGAACTGCACCGATGATAGGTTCCGAGACCATCTGGTGGTGGGCACCAGTGATGACGAGGCCAGACGCCGCATGCTGGAACTGCCCGATCTGACCTTCCAGATGGCCGCCGACCTGTGCCGGGCGTCCGAGAGCGCCCGTCTCAACAGCTCGGTGATCCGTGGCCCGGGCGAGCCGTCTCTGCGCCGGCTCTCCGAGTACCGGCGACATCGCGGTCGGCCGAGCGGCGCGGACTCGCGCCCGGCCGACCAGACCCGGCGGTGTGACCGCTGCGGTGCCGCGCAGCACACGGACGGTCGTGCCTGCCCCGCCCTGGGTCGCACCTGCCACCGATGCCACGAACGGGACCACTTTTCCTCGGTCTGCCGGCATGCCGCGGGCACTGAAGAGCGGCGCCGGCAGACGCCTAGTTCCGAGCGCAGCCACCAGGGACAGGACTGGCGCCACCGTAGCGCGAGCAGCAGCCGCCAGGGGAGGGCCGAGGGGCCGGCGCCACTGTAGCGCAATCAGCCGCCGCCGTGTCAGCACGGCTGCCGACGCGTCGCACCGGCAGGTTTCGGTGCTGGCAGCGAATGCAACCACGAGAGACACGGAGAACCGGCAGCAGTCAGCGCCGCCGGCAGCCCGGACGCCGGGCGCGCGCCTCAACAGTGTGACGGCCCACCGGTCGCCGCAGGTCCGGCTACAGCTGCACCTGCCAAACGGAGTCAGGCGGACGACCGTATGGACGCCCGACACAGGCGCCGAGATATCAGCCCTCTCACTGCAACAAGCCGAGTCCATGGGAGTGAGCAGAGCGGACCTCACGCCCTCCACGGCTGTGCTGTGGGCCGCCGACAGCCGCCGGCTGGACTGTGTGGGCACGTGCGCCCTCACCCTGCAGCTCGGTGACGTCATACAGACCGTGCAGGTGTCCGTTCTGCGAGCACTGCACTCACCACTGCTGTCGTGGCACGATTGTATCGGCCTGGGAATTCTACCGGCGAGCTTTCCCCGGCAGATTTGCCAGCGCGGCTCGGCAGCCGAGACTGGGACGGACGGTGGGGCACCGGAGCCGCCGCCGCCCGGCGAGCCGCCTGAGGCCCCCGCCGCCGGCAGACAGCCCGCACTACGGCGCTGCAGCGGCACGACGGCGGCACCTGAGGAGACCCGGGACCTAAGCCGCGTCTCTGCCGCCGACCGGCCGGCCGCCAGCTCGGCCGGCGCCGACCCGACCGGGCGGGCGCCGCCGCCAGGCCCTACGCGCGCGCCGCCGCCCGGCCGCGCGCACGGCCCGGCCGCCGGTGGCACCCCCTCCGCACGGCAGCGGCGGGCAGATTTCGACAAATTAAAAGCCGAGTTCCCGAGGGTCTTTGATACGGAGTCGACCCTGCGGAAGATGACGGGGGAGCCGATGAAGATCGAGCTGACGGACGACGCCGTCCCTCACGCTGTGACCACCGCCCGGAATATCCCGTTCTGTTGGCGAGAGGACGTGCGACTGCAGCTCGACGAGCTGATGGAAAAGGACATCATCGAGCCGGTGGAGCACCCCACAGACTGGTGTCATCCGATCGTTCCTGTGGCCAAGGGGTCGTCAGACGGCACAGTGTCCGGCTGTCGGCTGACCGTGGACTTCACGAAACTGAACCGGTTCGTGAAGCGACCGACGTACCCGGTCCGCTCGCCTCAAGACGCTTTCGCCTTCGTCTCACCCGGCGCTGCGTACTTCACCAAGCTGGACAGCAAGGCGGGGTACCACCAGGTCCCCATCCGGCCAGAAGACAGAGACCTGACGTGTTTTATCACGCCGTGGGGCCGCTACCGGTACCTGAGGGCTCCAATGGGAATCGTCAGCTCTGGCGACGTGTACAACCAGCGCGGTGACGCCGCGCTCGGCGACATCCCGCGCACGTGTAAGGTCGTGGACGACGTCCTGGCCTATGACGCTGACTACGCCGCCCACCTGCAGCACGTGCGGCAGATTCTGCTGAGGTGTGACCAGCACGGTATCACACTCAACCCGGACAAATGTCAGTTCGCGGAAGACGAGGTCGAATTCTGCGACTTTCGCATCAATTCGGCTGGCTATACCGCCGACGGCAAGAAAGTCCGTGCCATCCAGGCCTTCCCCAGGCCGGGCAACATCACCGACCTACGGTCGTTCCTCGGCCTGGTGACCCAGCTCGGCGCCTTCTCCCCAGAGGTCGCCGCCGCCGCCTAGCCGCTGAGACAGCTGCTGCGGCCGCGGAACGCGTGGCTGTGGACGCCAGCGCACGAGCAGGCGTTCAGCGCGGTGAAGATGGCACTCACGTCGCCTCCCGTGCTCGACTTCTTCGACCCTCGCCGCCGCACAGTCCTTGAGACTGACGCCGCTCGCTCCGGCGGCCTGGGCTACTGCCTGCTGCAGCAAGACGCCGCAGGCCGGTGGCGACTGATCCAGTGCGGCTCACGCTTCCTATCGGACGCCGAGTCGCGGTACGCCGTGATCGAGTTGGAGCTGCTGGCCCTGGCCTGGGCCTGCAAGAAATGCAGCATCTATCTCGGCGGGATGCAGCGGTTTGAAGTCCTGACCGATCACCGGCCGCTCATCCCGATCCTCAACAGTAAGAGCCTTGCGGAGATCGAAAATCCGCGGCTCCAGCGGCTACGAGAACGGCTGGCGCCGTTCAACCTGCTCGCCATCTGGCGGCAAGGCAAGCTGCACGCCATCCCGGACGCGCTGTCGCGCGCGCCGGTGGATGACCCGGCGCCTGAGGACGAGGAAGCCGAGAGGGACGCCAGCCATCAGCTCGCCAGCGTGCTTTCACGGCTGGTCACCGACGGGGCGGACGACGGTCCCAGCCCGTTCAAAGACGCGGCGCTGACAGAGGTGCGCGCCGCCGCCGCCGCCCATCCGGAGCTCATCGCACTCACCGATCTGATCCTGAACGGGTTTCCAGAGCACCGGTCACAGCTGGACCCGCGCCTCCGACCGTACTGGGGAGTTCGGGACCGGCTGGCCGTGGACGACGGCCTGGTGGTGTGCGGCCAGCGGCTCGTGATACCGCCCAGTCTGCGGCGCGCCACGCTCGAGCGCCTGCACGCCAGTCACCAGGGCGTCGAGCGCACCAAACGCCGCGCGCGGCAGGTAGTCTACTGGCCGTTCCTGGACAGTGACATTGCGAACCATGTCGGAGCGTGCCCGGCCTGCCAGCAGTACCTGCCCAGTCATCAGAAGGAGCCGCTGATGCCGGAAAAGACGCCATCACGAGTGTTTGAGGCTGTCTCCGCTGACTACTTCGCCTGGGCCGGCCGCACGTTCCTGGTATACGCGGACCGGCTGTCCGGGTGGCCGTTTGTGTCGCACGTGGCCGGCGAGGCGACTGCCAGAGACCTGGTCTGCAGCCTGCGCCAGATATTCGCGGCCACCGGCGTGCCCACCACCCTCCGGACAGACGGTGGACACCAGTTCACCGCCCGGCTCACCCGAGAGTTTCTGCGCCGCTGGGGAGTGGAGCACCAGATCTCTACACCGCACTACCCTCAGTCTAATGGGCACGCCGAGTCGGCGGTCAAGGCCGCCAAACGGCTCATCCAGAAGGCGACCAGCAGCGGTGAGCTCGACACGGACGCCTACGCGCAGGGGCTGCTGGAGCTGCGCAACACGCCGCGCGCCGACGGCCGCTCTCCGGCTCAGGTCCTGTTCGGCCACCCGCTGAGATCGGCAGTGCCGGCGCACCACCGGGCCTTCGCCGACTGCTGGCAGCGGGCGGCGGACGACTGTGACGCCAGGGCCGCCGCGCAGCAACAGGAAACAGCCGAGCGGTACGACACGACAGCCCGCCAGCACAGCGCGCTCACCATGGGTCAGCGTGTGCTCGTCCAAGACCCGCGGTCGGGGCTGTGGGACCGCGTCGGCGTCATCACGGCGGTCGGACAGCGGCGCGACTACCTGGTCCGGCTGCCCAGTGGCCGAGTCTACTGGCGGAACCAGCGCTATCTGCGACCCCAGAGATCTCTCATCTCGGAGGGCGCCGCCACACCTGCACCCGGGCGCCGGCAGCAGCTCGCTCCGAGCTCGGCACCCGACGGCACGGAGGAGACCGCCGCCGCTGCGCCGGCGGGCGGACAGCCGGCACCACCGGTGCTGCGGAACAGCGCCGACGACCCCAGCTCAGTGCGCCGTGGGACGCGCCGCCGTCGCCGTCCGGCCCGACTGACCGTGCGCTGGGCGGACCAGACGTGCGACTGAGTTCGTGCGTCCACACCGTGTGTGGTGTACATTTTTGTTTATGTGCTAGACGCAATGCGTATCTTGTACCGACGCATGCGTCTTGAGGGGGGGGGGGTGTTGTGATGGGGCACGTTTTCCTTTCCCTTCATTTGGTCTCACCCCCCGGTCATATGGAAGCACATAAAAAATAAACAGTTCCATGGTCGCCGCCATCGTGTTTCGGTCGTCCTGTGTCGCTCCAGGGATATCGCCGTGTTAATCGCCACTACCGACCATAACAGAACTGACGCATCGGCGGAAGCGGGAGTCCGCAGCGGAGAAGCCTTCGTGGAGTGTACACGGGTGTGGGAAATGAATGCTAAGTGTATCCAAATTGAAGGCACTGCTCTCGAATGATATAAATACTGAACAGCTTTGGATTGTTTATATTCCAAATGTTTACTTTCAGGACGAGTACTCCTTGTCATTCGGTCGTCAACTCCTCTCTCCGACCCCGGCTTAGCGCAGGCACGTATAACCTAGAATTTGGCCGAGAGGGGGGGAGCGGAAGAATCCCGTAGAGAGAGCCTCCTACCTACAGAGGGCCCTCTACCCGAGGAGTCAGAGGGGTCCTAGTGGTCAGACATAGACACTAGCGGTTATTCACAGGAGGCCCCATGCTGTAAATTGAAGGACCCGGTGGCAGGCGAGTCGGAGAGCCTTGATTGTCCTGAGTCCTGACGTGATTTTTTGGGGGATTCCCATGAATTTCGTTCGTCTCCGACGTGATTTTGGCCAACGTCGGCCTTCTGCCAGCATGGGCCCTGAAAACCCCTAGGGGGGCGGCGCACCCCGTCCGTCCCCCCTTGGGTACGTCCCCGGTCGGTCCAGCGACTCCACACGCGCCTACCGACACACAAGAAACTCTTGCCATTATGTTTGCTTCCGACGCAATCACGACAGAATTACGCTCTATTGATATGCATGCTGCCAATTGCCATTGCTTTGGAGTCGGTGTTTTGAATTTCTGCGTTTTTTTGGATCGGCTCCACTCTCCAGACAGCTGGCTCAGCCTGATCGACCAGAGCAATGCGACACCTATACCAACTTGATACCAACCTACTTGGCGGGGTGGTGAATTCATGAAGTGCGAATGCGAAACATGGCAATAGATGGCGGAACAAACAGCATGGGGCTATGATGGGGAAGGCTGGGACACGCATTGAGGAATGAAATCCGTCACTTCGCAGATTTCGAACGCATCCTTAAAGTGCATTACTTTTATCTGCTTGCGTTCGGTCTTGGGATTTCTCAGCAGATGTCGCCAACAGTAGAGAGATTGATCTAGAATGTCTCGTTATCGGAAAAGTATGGTAGCCATACACCAAATGGTTTTTGCGTATAGCTACCATATTACTTCCGATATGACTGTTGACATTACTGCCGATATGACGGAGCAGTGCATTGGCAATATGCCAAGGGCAGTAACATGCCGTCAGTCACGTCAGTCATCGGCCTTGGCTATCTGTAAGAATCTTGGCAGGAATCTTGGCCTTTTCTTGGACCCATAGCCTCGGCCTTCGACCAATCATACCGCCGAATTCGCAGGCGGTGAGAGACAAATACGGCGTGCCAAAGACATATTGGGTGTCTCAAAATCACTGAGAACTCTATAGCTCAAAATTTAAGCCCTGCACGTTTTTAGATCTACCCCGTTGAGTGGCATTCTTGTGAAAATTATGTAAATATGTTTATCAGAATAAGGGAGAAGTGTAGGGGGCGGCGGGTGAGGTGCAGAAGAAGAATAAGAAGAAGTTGTACCTATCCAGTAACTTTATCTTGATTTGTGGACTAGACGAAGACTAGATTTTGATGAAGAAATTTGAATTGAAATCGATAAACTTGAACTGCAGGTAAGGTGTTGGTTTGTCATGCCGATTGTCTTGAAACCCTTTCCTTTTAATCTTTCAATTAAAATCATCAACTCCTATTCAAACCACCAAAGAGCCAACAGATCTCACTCAGTCTAAATTTTCGTTCAAAGGCCAGTTTTACTTTACCCGATTTACCAACAAAAATAGCTGCCTGGAATTTTTCTCCTTATATATCCATTCCACGTAGGTACCACATACAGAGAGTAAATGCGATTGGCATGTATGTAAGCAGGGAGGGCTTCACCATTTATGCTCCATATGTAAATTAGCCTTTAGGCAAAATAATCCGGCAGGTGGCTATTTTCTGTTTGTAAAACTGGCCTCAGATGGAGTGGTATCATTTGATTAACCATCACACGATCAGGCATCAACAAATTGTTTGTGGTTTTAGAATCTTGAAAACTTTCTTGGGAGTGGCACTTAGTAGACATCCATTTGAGATTCTGCTAGAGCAATAGCATCGTGCTCAAGCCAGCCATATTTTAGACTGCCAACACAAGAAAAAATGCTTGGTTAATCAGATTTCAGGCATCAAAATATTAGTGGTGGTAATAATCATGACCATATATTAGCATGACATCATTTTTTAACTTGTTGTGGTACACCTTGTTGTATATTGAGGCTTGAAGATGCTCAACTAGATGATATTTTTGATGTGTGTGTTGATTAAGACTGAAGTCCAATGAAAATAAAAAGCAGAAATTATCCTGACCTTACCTTTCCTACTAACCTCCAACCTCCAACCTGTCAGCCTACAAACCACTGTTCAGACTTCATCTACACGCAGGTTTAACATTTTATGATAAAGTAAAAAATGCTCAGCTTGTAATCCAATGCCTTTCAAAACCAATTGGCCTTTTTGGCCTTGCGAATGGTTAACGGAGAGAGAGAGAGAGAGAGAGAGAGAGAGAGAGAGAGAGAGAGAGAGAGAGGAGAGAGAGAGAGAGAGAGAGAGAGAGAGTTTCCTAACTCTTATCATGTAAAAGCTGCTTTGAGAAAATAGCACTGTGTTTTATCCTGGCTTCATGACTCTCTAACGCTCTTTCAAACACATGCTTGTTTTATGACAATTGGTGATACAGAGAGGGTCTGCATTAATGTCTAAGTATGGTCATTTAGGATCAATTTTTGGTGCCCTCGTTTTATATTATTCCAGCAGCCTTAGTCTGCCCAACTGACATGCGCTGACTTTGTCGCATGTGACGTTACACCTGACGTGCGCCGAAATTTTAGGTGGAACCCTGCCACTACGCCAAACATAAGTTATGGAATGATCACTGCTCAGTTTCGCAGGTTCACCAGAACAGCGTCATGGGTGCACAATGACCACCGTAGTGCCCGCAAACCCTAATAAACAAACAAGCAAACATCAGTTGCGCACTTAATGCCAATTTTCACAATTTTGATTGTCTATTGATATTGTTTGGTCATTTCAGGACTCGTGGCGCTGCTCGCCTCCTCGCCAATGCGAACGCGTTCTCTGAGGACAACCCGCCCAAGGCCAGCATGACGAAGCCACGCCACCGCGCCGGCTATAGACTCACGGCCTGAAGCGAGTTTGGGCGCGACGGCTGGCGAGCCAAGGCGGCGGAAAGTCGTCTGGCGGAGCTCCCGTTTGAGGCGAGCTTGATCTGGTCAGACAGCTTCGCCACCGATGGTGTGCTAGATGGAGGAGGGGCCATCCCCCCCCGAACCGCGACATCCGAGAGGTGCGTGTCGCGGCAGGCGCCCTTTGCTCTAGCACGCGCGGCGAGCTATTCGCCCGAAGAGCGGTGTTGGAGGAGCTGTTGACCAAGACTGGTCGCGACACCTCTCTTCCGATAATTATCGTCTGCACCGACTCGATGGCGGCGCTGGCCCTCCTGCGGAGCGGCGCGGCGGCCCAGAGAGCCCCTCTGGCCGCAGACATATGGGGGCTGCTGGCCGCGCTCACCGAGGGGGCCAGCCAGTGATAATGCAGTGGGTTCCTGCACACTGCGGGCTTCCGGGCAACGAGCGCACGGACGCCCTCGCGCGCGAGGCTGGCGCCCTATCCCAACGGTAGCGACGTCCGCCGATCGACGTCGGCACTATCTGCAAGGCAGGCGCGCGCGACGCTGCGCGCGCCTGGCGGCGGAGCTGGCCGGACGGATGGTACCGGTCGATATGGGTCGACCACCGTCTATCCCAACGGAAGCGCCGATCGACGTGGGCGGGCACTATCTGCAAGGCAGGCGCGCCACGGCAGGCGCGCGCGCGACGCTGCGCGCGCCTGGCAGCGAAGCTGGCCGGAGGATGGTACCGGTCGATATGGGTCGACCGCTGTCCCGGCTCCGTCCTGGAGGCCGACCGTGCAGTCGTTATCTACATCCGCTAGTACCTGCTCTGCATCGGCCGCCTCCCGAGGCCGGATGCCCACAATGCAACGACGTGGAGTGCCCTGCTGCCCGATGCCGCGTCTGCCGCGAAGAGGCTGGCACTCCACGGTATGTGCTGCTGCGATGCCCGGCGCTGGCGGCGTTGCGACAAAGAGCCTCGGCAGCTGAACTGCTTCAAGCGACGTAACGATATCTGCCCTCCCCTCCCCTATCGAGCCGCGTGGGTGTGGACGGACGGGTCGGCAGACGCGAGAACCTGCAGTGAAGGAGCTGGGGTCTACGGGGAGTAGCAGGACGAATGGACTGATGAGCCGCGTGTCCCGGCCGGTCCATTCTGCTGTTCTAGCTCCAGGACCGGCCGCGCCGTCGCCACCCGTCCGGCGTCAGTGGAGGACCGCTCATCAGCTGTCGATTTTCATCAGTTTCGTTTGGACCACTGGTCGGGCTCCTGCCAGTGCCGACATTGGGTTGGGCGGAGTCCTACCGATGAATGCCGCGAGTGCTGCAACATTGGCTCGGTACATCTCGGTACATTTTCCCGAGTCTGGTGTGCCTACGGGGAGACGGAATTGGTGACCCTGGCTGCCGCCGTGAGAACCATCCAGAACCGTACGGCTATGCTGCGGCAGCGGCTGAAAGGAACGCAACAACAATAACTACAACAGCAGCTGCTAATGAAAGGGGAAATCATGGAGCCGGATGACCCGGCACATGGCGCTCAGCCAGCTGAGAATGAGAGCAGCTATCA